ATAGAAGTAGAGGGTTTTGAATATCATTTATGAAATAAGAAAGGTTGTGGTGAGACTGCAGGAAAATATCTTTTTTTGTAATTTTTGAGTCACAATTGTAAATTGCGTCCAGATTTGGACGCAATTTCGTTTAAGGGATAAATAAAAATTATTTATCAATTTAAGGTAAACATGGATATTTACACATGTTCTCTTATTACTTATATTAATTATTCATCGTTTATATAATTATTAGGTGGTTTTGATTTTGGTGTTTCATAGGGATAAAGAAGATGAAGTGTATATTAATGGTGCAAACATCCATGTCAAATCTCCATACTTCTGGGTGGTTATGAAGATACTTTGATTTTAAGTCAATATCCAAAAGTAAACAAAATACAAATTCTTATAAGGTATCTGCCACCAATCCTGCGGCCGGATTTTGTTCTTTTTCATAAATTGATTAAAGTGCTGAAAAGGATTTAAATCTTCTGAAGAATATGCAAAAGAACTTGATCAATTTCCACAAGCCACAAGAAATTTTCGTCTGATGTCCGATATGCTAGCATCACGTTCACTAGCTCGAGTAAATTCTAGTTTAGAATCAGTAATAATAAAAGTGTTGAAAAAAGAATAGAGGATGGAAATGACCTCAAAAAAAGGCAAGAGAATAATCAACAACAGGCAGAGGATGAATATTTTTTGAATCACTTACTCTATCCAAAACAGAATTCTATCCCAATAGACTTTTATGTAAAAGATTTAATATAGCAGATCCACATTCAGATCATTAATAAAAAAAATTTTCAATTTTCTTCGAATTGTAAATCTAGTCGCCTCATTTACACAGCCAAAATATATTAATATATACTCATCAGCATATACACTAAATCATTCGATAATACGGATTTAGGTTTTATATTTTGACAATATATTGATCACAATAGTGATTTGTTTAGATACCCCTTAATTATGCAATTGATGATCATCTAATCCCCACACTCCATGACTAAACTCATCGAACCTAAAATCTAAATAACTTGTAAATGATAATAATAATAACAATAATAATAATAATAATAATAAATATTATTATTATTTATTATTATTAATTAATATTCTTGTAATTATTGAAATATAATTTCTCTCTTTAAAAAGTCCTAATAAATTTAAACAACACAAAGAACACACAAAGTTTGATCCATGATCAATACACGTATTAAATTAATATGATCCGCGCAGTAAATAAATTCGACCAATAGATTTTAGTCCGTGAATAAGCAATTATTATTATTATCATCATAAATAAAATTGCTCTGTTTCTCAGAAATTCAAAAATTCAATTAATCAATGTTTTTAATAATTCAATATCAATAATAAAACCGTCCTGTATTATTTTAATTAATCAACTAATATACAAAAAAATAGCTAATACACTATTAATATCCGAATTTTGATTATTATGTGTTTTGGCTAAAATGATAATTTCAATCGTCTGGTAATCCATTTCATTCCTTTTTCTTGATGGTGCCGTAAAATTAGAGCAGGTTTTCTCCTTGAATGATCAAATTTAGAGATTGAGACAATTTTTTTTTTAAAGTGAGTTATATTTAATCTTATTTTTATAATTATACATCAAAATCAATTAGTAAAGGTGGCTTTTTATAATTTTGGAAGCAAAATAGCTACAGAAAAAGTTAAAAATGGGTTTAATTCCTAGAAACCTTATCTACAATGTAACGACGCCATTTTTTTATTTTTATTTTTTTTGAGTTTGTATTAGTAGACATCCAAGATTTATACATTTGCAATACGAAAGTACATTAATGCTTTTAAAATATGGCTCTATTATGTTGTAAAGACGTGTTCTGCGAGCTCAGAACATTTTCAGAATTTAAACAGTTTATGCAAAAAGTAAATTTATTATCATGATCTTCATTATCAGAACAAAATAGAAAAAATTCATACAAAATAGAAAAAAACAGGTAAGAAATTGACAAAAATTCAAAAAATTGTTATCATCATATTCAATTATCTTTACAATATGTTAAATATGACATTATTATTTTAGTGACAATAAATCCTAATCGATTGATTTTTTCATTTTGATTTAATAAAGAGACTTCCAGCTGAAAATAATGAAGGAAAAGTTATAAATTTAATGCAAACAGCAATGTAATATAGAAATTTCTGAAATCGTATGTACAAGTAGTTTTTTTTTGTTTTCCTGGTAATATTCATCGTTACTTTCTAAATTTCAGATTGATCTTCTTCACTCGAGGTTTGAATATTAAAAAATTTTGTTATTTTAGAAGTCCCAACTGCAGCATCTCTCAATTTCTTTGCACGCCTTTGCTGTGTTCGTTTTGATTCTTTCAAATAAAACGACCTGCTTTTTATCGGGATAGTATTTCCTTGAAGAACCTTCTTCGCCTTCTCACGTACAAGAACAACACGGTCACCTCTATTCATATTCAAATCGTCACATGATTCGTTGTTATCAGCAGGACTCCGGACGGATTCAGTTTTAGCTTTAACTTTGGATTCAACTTTAGGCTCAATTCCAGAACTCGGATGTTCATTTAAATCCATCCCAATGTCACTAGTATTTAAACTTGTATCATGTGTATCTGAGGCAACCATCGAATTTTTTTGTCCAGTACGGTTTTTTCTAGCTTGGGCTAATCTTGAAATCTGTCTACTTCTTTTGTTAGGTCTGCCCATCTTTAAAGTAATTAAATTTGTTGATATATATGATCAGGAAAAAGAATTTAGATTTTTAATAATATAGAGTTGGCAGGAAGATAATAATATATATTTGGTAAGTAAATAAATGTTTATTATTAATAATGTTGTAAGTTATTGATCGATTAAAAATATGTAATGATGGACTTTGTACGATCTGAAAAAAGAGTACAAACAAACATTGGCTTACATAAGATCCGAAATTTGGGACCACAAAATATTGATTAAACCATTTTTGTACATCAAGCATTTCCTTTGAATATTGTACTAGAGGTTTTTGTGTATCGGAACAACTTGTGCTATTGTAAAATGTTTTTTGCTGTTTCTAACCATCAATTTGGCTAGTCAAGCCTGCAGTCCAATCCTTGAGGTTTTATAATCTACATATAAAAAATTCAATGCATATAAAACACCTTTCTCGTCAGAAAGTTCATAATATTCATTAATGTTTCGCTTTTTAAACATAATAATATACGTAATGTACGTGAAGTTTCAAGATCTAAACTATTTCTTAATTCATAAATTGTTACAAAGATAATTTGTTCGTACGGAACTTACACGAGTTTGTATATTAATATGCACACCGCTCGCTACATTCATCTTCAATTGTTGATGATGACTTACTTTAATTTTTTATCGTTAGTAATAATTTAAGTTTTTTGATGATATTCATTAGATGTTTATTTCGGATATGAGTTTTCCCAATTACGCTATGTGTAACTGCACAAATACGACAGACGCTTCTGAATTTCATATTTCTTGTAAATCACTCGTCCACTCCTGATAAAGTATTAATGTTACCAGGAATTTTTGATGTTGACGATGTATATAAGAATTGAATTATTGTCAGGAATTTGAATGATTTGGTGAAGCTGATGATGGATTGAAAGGTAAAAGGTAAAATTGTGTAGCATCTTGTAAACCATTATCAGCTCCTTCGCTATTCAACTTGGTGAGTGCTTGTATAAAGCAATAAAAATTAAAGAACGAATAATAAAAATTTTGTGCCAGTTTTAATCGTGGTTCAATTCTCGGGTAATAGTAAAAACCGTTATTAGGCGGTTTGAAATCTGTAAATCGAACCGCATTGGTTAAAGTTTAAGAATCACGGTTAATCCCAGTTTGGGTTGTATCGTCCCATCCCCTTATTCAAGGATCACAAATTAATTAAATAAACAATTATTATTTTTAATTAATTAAATGTAACATAATAAACATTTAAGAGAAAACATTCTTTTCTTCCCCTTAACCTTTTTAACGGCAATCAATGACAAATACACTATTTAATTACCATCGCTTTAGAGAATATAAAGAATTGGATGAATATGAATGAGAGGAAAAAAAAATTGATCATATTAAACATTAAATAATTGATTTAAAAAAGTTCATATCACGTGATTTAATAATGATAAACATTACACAGCACAAAAAAAGAACCAAATTGTCTCACCAATTTAAAACCAATTTAAACAATTCTTTCTGCCACCACTCTCAACTAAACAATGAAAGACACTCCACTGAAAAAAGTTCTTCAAATATGGTAGGTTGAAATTATGCATGCTTTTATATATCATTTATAAAAAATAATCTTTTTTTTTTTTTTTTTTAGGATCAAAACATAGAAAAAATAAGTTTCGATACGTTAATCTACAGCAATCAAACTGTAAAGTTTTCATTAACACCAAATAGATTGGCAACAATCGAGGTAATTAATTGTATTCATTTATTATTTTGTTATCATCATCATCATCCTCCTCCTCATTGTTGTTGTTATCGTTGTTAAAAACTTGACATATCTATATTAATTCATTCATTCACTCATTCATTCATTCATTCATTTTTTCTCAATAGACACCACCACCAAAACTTGCTCCTCGTGCACCTGTAACTAGAGATTGGGATATACAAAAATCACATTCTAAAACTCCCAAAGATAATAATGAGTTTGATGTCATAAATGGAAAACGTTCACAAAAAGAAGAAAGTTTATATGATTTCTTGAAAAACACTAGCCCAGAAGATGTTTTTGGCGATCCACATTCACGTAAAATTAAAAACAAAGGGTCAAAAAATGATATCTTATCAAAAAGATACGGTAAACCTTTGGATAAATTGGATCCACTTTCTGAAAAACCTACAAGCCCTCCTTCGCTTGGTAGTAATCCTCGTTATATTCCTTTAATTCCTTCGGAAAAATCATCACCTGGTTCACCTTTTTCACCATTGTCACCAATATCAACTGCTAATTCATTAAATACAAAACATTCATCGTCATCATTACATCGTATTAAATCTTTGGAACGGATGATTTCTATTAAAAACGATAATGGGAATATCAATAAAAACAGAAATACTCATGCTTTAAATAAATTCCAAAGTGTCGATCATACAGTACCTTCGAAATCAAGAAGGCCTGAACCAATCCATTTGTATGATGATGATGATCTTGATGATTTATTAGATGACTCAAGTAAAAGAAGAAAACACCAGGCTCAAGATTTAATAGACTTTTTGAACACAACACCGCCAAGTGAAAAAACTACTTTTCCTGACTCTCTTAAAGATCATCCAGATTCAAATAATACAAGTGGCAAAAAAACCAAGTTAAGAAGATTGTTTTCAAAATTGCGAAATAAGCCATCATCTGGACATCCAAATTCGCATCACATTACATCAAATTCAAATAATCCGGCGTTTGTAAGCGCTTCAGCCAGTTCACTAACATCTACTGCCGCTTTGGTCAATAGACAAAGAGCTAAATATATTAAAATAGAAATTCCACCTCTTCCTCTTAAAGATACTAGCGGACAAACCAGCTTTGATCAGCTTGGTGTTCAAAGTAAATATGTACCTAAAGCGATATCAACAAGTAGTTTACCATACGATCCAAATAATCCAAACAATACAAACACTGGTGCTAATTCTCTAGTTAAAGTTTCAACTGCATTTGATAGCAATTATCGAACCGAAAACTCGTACACCAAAACGGATATATCAAACAATAATATCAATTCCAACGCTCCTTCAACTACGCAATCTTTATTAACATCATCATTGTTGGCATCATCATCATCATCGAAAATAACTCACAAAACAAGTTCAAATTCTGTTGTTTCTACTACTTTATCTTCACCACCATCTTCACTACCAACTTCACCATCAACTTCACCATCTTCTTCTCCATCATCTTCATTACCATCTTCATTATCATCACCATTATCACCATTTTCATTACCATCGCCATCTTCATTATTATCACCATCTTCATCATCAAAACCATTCCCTACACCATTCAATGCCATTAACAACAACAATGTCTTTGATATTTCTAATAATCAAAATACAACAAATTTGAATCCTGTAATTACTTCCTTTAAAACAGACAAACCACTAAACATGCCACAAGAACAAGTTGTCACTCCAAAGGAAAAGGTTTTACCAAATATACAAAAGATTTCTCAAGAGAAGCCAAGACAACAACAACAACAACAACAACAACAACAACAACAACAACAACAACCAATACCAAAATCAAAATTATCATCATCACTGCTGGCATCGCCACCACCATTGCCACTACCACCACTACATCAATTACAACTATCACGATCAAATTCACTCAAAAATTCACGATTAACACAAAACTCTATAAATAAAAAAGAAACTCCAATAAATTTGGCTATAACACAATCTCAAGAAAGTAAAACAAAAACTTTACCACAACCACCAACGAATGATAAAGAATCCTCCAAAATTACTGAAACAAAAGAAACTGTCGTTAGATCGATTGTTGGAATAGCAATTGAACCAATCGCCAAACCAACAATTGAACCAATCGCCAAACCAACAATTGAACCAATCGCCAAATCAACGATAGAACCAATCGCCAAATCAACGATTAAACCAATCGCCAAACCAACGATTGAACCAATCTCCAAACCAACGATTGAACCAATCGCCAAATCAACGATTGAACCAATCGCCAAACCAACGATTGAACCAATCGCCAAACCAACGATTGAACCAATCTCCAAACCAACGATTGAACCAATCGCCAAACCAACGATTGAACCAATCGCCAAACCAACGATTGAACCAATCTCCAAACCAACGATTGAATCAATCTCCAAACCAACGATTGAACCAATCTCTGAACCAACGATTGAACCAGTCATTAAACAAAATGTTGAAAATAACAATAATGACGATGAAAACGTTATTGGTGAGTTGAATAAAGAGGTAACAGAAGAAAAGATTGCACCGGTAGAAATTAAAGTTCAAGAAATTGAAGAGGAAATTGAAGTTTCTGTTGTTAGTTTGACAGAAGATGAGGAAAGAGAAGAAGGTATTGTAGTTGAATGGTTGTTGGGAACTTGTCTTACTTATAAAAGTATCAGAGACCCTATAGATTTAGTTCAAGATGAAGGAAGCAATGTTGAAAGTGATAGCGATGATGATGTATTTGTTGACCCTCAAGAAATCGACTATATTGATGATAATGTTACTAATGGAAATAACTCTATAAAAATGGGAGCATAAGCTGGGCTTTTAAAAGGGTTTTATATTGGTGTGTTAATGGATTTATTTATTTATTTCATTCATTTCATTCATTTCATTCATTCATTCATTCATTCATTCATTTATTTTGGTTTTACAGACATTTTCATTTTCATTTTATTCTTAAATTTACATTTTTTTTGTTTATTTTTTTTTTTAATTTATTTATTTAGAAATATTTTACGTGTATTATTGTAAAGAATATATATAAATCTTATATACATATATCAATTCATAATTAATTTTTTGATAATCATTATCCTGGCGTTTATAATTCCCAACCGAGAAGGTTATAAAAAAATAAACCAATGGAATTAAAATTTAAAGTCCAAACTACGTTTCTGTTGTTTACTTTTTTATTGTCATAAAAGCTTATGGATTAAAAGTTAGGGTGTTTACATATACAGTATGTAAAACTATTTTTATTTAAATTTCTATTTAATAATTCACACTGTTTACTATTGGGCAAAAGGCGCATCGCCACAATGTGAGCGAGCCATAATAGATATCAAAAATCATATGTCTCGAGATCGTCAGCAAGTCTCCATTTTATGAAGGCAACATATAAAAAAGTAGGTAGCAATTTTTTAAGGTATGTGTGATATAGAGTAGTTGTTTTGCAACTATTCATGGCAAAGGCACCGAAGTTTTTCACTCGCCACGTCTCTTTGCATTTAGGGAAAGCAAAATTGCCAATAAGATTACCCTTGATTGTCTCATCATTCCTAATGGTCCACACTCTGGCCTTTTGCAAAATAGAATATTCCTCTACAAGCAACATTCAATGAAATCCGAACTGAATTTCTGAACTGGTTGGGTCCTCAATTTAATTGATCTTCGTGCATTTCATCCCGGAAGTATAGAATATATACTAATACGAATTAATATGCATATCCCCACTTAGAATACTGTGAATTTTTTTTTATTTGTCCGGAATATGTAACTGCGATAATTTTATGTATATTAATATACGATTATTTTTTTTTTGTACGATCAATAAAGCAAAGCGTAACATAATTTTTCCGCGTTATGGGATTGTGTATGCTAATTTCTTTTGTTTTTAGCCTTCGAACATTTCCAATGAAGATAGCATTCGGAAATAAAATCGTCAAATCGAACTCGAGATCACATTATTCTAGAACTTGAGAATTCGAATTCGACAGTGGCGATGTCTCCGGGTCCCTATACAGCAACTAAATTTTTGGCGGCAGAGATCTCTCTTTTATCATATAGAGAGATCTATCAACTGCATTAAGAGCAACTTCACGTCTATCACATGATACTGCTGTTGAGAGTAAAACATTCAGCTTATTATTATTGTTTTTATTTCACAACAAGTACACTACTAAAAATTCCTTTTATCTTGTAACACTATTTTTGTGTTGGGAAAAGGACTTGTAGCTTATATGGGAGGATTTTTATTATAATTGATGCAATCCCGACACAAACTCATGAAATTCAAGACTCAACATAAAATTATGGGGGAGAAAGTCTCGAACGAGTCGATTATGCTCTTTTTCATTCGGTCATGTTATTTTATTGAGAGTGGACTAATAGCGCAAATTTGTCAGCTTGCTGATATCTGATGTAGTAGATATTGACAAAAAAATATTTAAATGATAGTCATGCGCACTAATAAATTATTGAAATGCCAAGGATACTTGTAAAATTTCACTAATACTAAGTCGTATTTTGAATTTTATTAAATTTGGAATTGATCAGCAGCTCAAAATTTTCATAAATTATAAAAATCTAAATAAAAAATGTCAAGATATCTTTCAAACGATAATGATAGTGAGGGTGAAGATGACATTGAAGATTTTACTACTAAATTCCAACATCCTCGTAATAGATATAATCGATATTCTTTGGATGTTCCAGGCATTGTTATAATCATTAATATATATTAATTAAATTACATCTTGTTGTTTTTAAACGCTTTCTAAATCCTAGAATAATTTATAAAATTAGGGATTGTAACTCCAAAAATTCCTTCAGGTAAGAATTTAAATCTCAATAATTACCATTAGAATATTATAGAATGATAATACAACAATAATTTGAATTACATTTCAATCTTTGACACAATGAATAGGAATAAACACTTGTGAAGTAATTGGATCTAAACTGATTGTTGTAATGGGTAAAATAATTTATGAAAAAAATCAATAAAACCAATACAAGCAACTATAATTTTTTTTTGAAAAATAGTTGGATTACCTGCACGTGGAAAATCATATATTGTAAAGAAATTAAAAAGGTATTTAGGATGGTTACAATATGATACAAAGGTATGTTATACTTATTCATTGTATTAATAATATCTTTATTACTTGAGCCATATTTAACAATATTTATACCATATTTTATATTTTTAGATTTTCAATGTTGGAACTTTACGCCGTAACATTACACAACAACTTACCAATGGAACTTCTCATTCACATGAATTTTTTGATCCATTCAACAAAAATGCAAAGGAAACCAGAGAAAAATTAGCAATGGAATCCTTGGATGAGTTGATTGGTTGGTTGAAAAAAGGCGGAAGAGTTGGTATTCATGGTAAAAAAAAAAATAATACTTGTCAATTAATTGAGATATTTGCAAGGATTTGTAATTTGGTGATTAATTAATTAATAGTTTATTTTAATATATATCCGATACATAGATGCTACTAATTCAACAAAATCTAGAAGGTTGGTATAACATAATATTGATATTAACACCAATATATCTATATATGATTTACAATTTATGTGTAAGCAGAAAGAACATATTAGAAAAATGTCAACGTGAAAATAACTTCAGGGTTTTATTTATAGAATCAATATGTGACATCAAAAAAGTAATCTATTATTATTATTGTCATTCTAAAAGAAGAAGAACAAGTAAGGAATTAATTAGCAACAATCATTATCATTCAAATTTTAGGTATTAGATGCAAATATGAGATTGAAATTATCAGGACCAGATTATAAAAATATGAATCCAGATGAAGCATTGGCAGATTTTCGTAAACGTGTTGAAAATTATGAAAAAGCATATGAAACAATCGGTGAAGAAGAAGAACAAAGTAATATACAATATTGTAAATTAATTAATTTTGGAAGAAAAGTAAGAATTGCCACTTTTGGACAATGTTTTGTTAAAATTTATTAATAAGTCATTAATTGATTAATTAATTTAGGTGATAGCAAATAATATTCAAGGATATTTAAGTGGTCAATGTATCTTTTATTTGATGAATTTTAACCTTGAAAGTATGTTATTTTAATTTATATAAATATCACTAGGTATATGTGCTAATGTTACATATTATATATTATATATTATAATAAATAGGTAGACAGATTTGGCTTACAAGACATGGTGAAAGTGTTCATAATATTGAAAAGAAAATAGGTGGCGATCCAACAGTAAGCATACAATAAATAATATTATCATTATTAATATATAGTTAATAACATTAATAATATTATAAATATATTTATATCATCAGCTTACTGAAAAAGGGAAAAAATATGGAGCATGTTTAACGAGGTTTCTCCAAAAACAAAAACAATTATTTCGTCAAAAACAATTAGAAAAATATCAAGAAGAGGAATTTTATACTAAATATGATTTGGGTTTAAGATCTTCTTCGTCTTCTTATGTAACATCTTCTCCAACTTCATATTTACCACCTTCATCAGCCTCTGCTGCGAACCCTAATGATGAATTAAAAGGACAAGAACCACCTGAAAAGATTTTTTTTGTATGGTCAAGTTTATTAAAAAGAACTATACAAACTGTTGAAAATTTTGATACAAAGGAGTTTTGCATTATGGTAATTAAATAAATATCAAATCATATTTTTATTATATAAATATTATTGGTATTTATTTTTCTAATTCATTAGCATATTAGATTTCTTAATGAGATTTATGCTGTAAGTATCAATATTTATCAACTGCTTGCTCATTCATTTACTCAGTCATCCACTTTCTTATTCCTCATTATTATTTGATTTGATTTTCAGGGAAATTGTGAAGAGATGACATATGAGGAATTGGATAAGAGATACCCAAATCAAGATAACAAATTATATTTTAGATATCCTGGTATGGGAGGTGAATCATATTTGGATGTTATTCATAGAATCAATCCATTGATTATTGAGTTGGAAAGAATGACTGATAACGTATTGATAGTAACACATTGCATTGTGTTGAGAATACTTTTGGCTTATTTCAGAGACGTTGAAAAAGAAAAAGTCCCTGATATAGATGTTCCATTACACACTTTATATTGTCTAGAACCCAAACCATTTGGTAATTTATTTATTTAATGATTTGATTGATAGATTATTAATTGATTGATTTATTGATTATATATTATTATCATCATCATCATCATATTTAGGAAATGAATTATCACAATGGAAATATGACGAAGAAAAAGATTGGTTTTTCCCAGATTCAGAAATATTATTTTAAATGTTAGATGGTTGATGATGGTGGTGTTGCTTGATGTAACTTTATTAAGAAAATAAATAAAGTATTCAAAATATTAAATAATTACTTTAACTGTTAAAGCTACCACTACTTTAAACGGTACTTACAATATTTGCAATCTTTATCCATTCTAAAGATTTGATTATTTGATCATTAGAAGTTTTAGGAATTTCATTATGTTGCCATACCAGAAATGAATCAAATTTCTTGACCGTTTCCCAATTTCTTGTTTTCTCTACCACAATTTCTTGTTCTTTCTCTTCTTCCAATTCCATTTCTGAACCTGTTGCTGACGTGATCATTGAAGATTCTTTAAATATATGTCCTAAATAAATGACATGTCATTAATAATTAATAATTAATAATTATTGTTTATTATTAGGTTTATATTTTTTTAAAAAAATTTACCTTCGTAATCATTTTGTTCTAAATTAATTTTTTTGCCAATAAGCCTACGTCCTCGAAAAAATGACTCATATAACATTTCTTTATCGTATTTATAATCAATCATACATAATTAATGATAAGTTTTTGTTGATATTTAATATAATAATATTTAATATTTACCATCAGTTCTATTTTCATTTTTTTCTTCCAATGAAGAAGAGGAAGAAGATAATTCATTGACTATAAAATATTTATCAATATTGGCTTTTCCATTATAATTTATATTACATGGTAATAAATGCAATGAATTATTGTTGTTGTTATTATTATTAGTAGCGGTAATGTTGGTATTTATTTGAATTTCCATTATTTTAAAAATGAAAAGACACGTAAAATTTTTATGTAAATTGTCCAATAATAAACATTTTGTATTTATGAAATTTATAACAACTGAAATAAATCAGTCACAAAGATAAATAATAGAGATTTAATTGGTCATTATTCATCGATTCTTTCTTTTAATTATATTAGAATCTAATGTTTATTAATCAATCAAATTGTTAGTAATAATGAAATTTTTATTCACCTTTGTTGACATCTTAGAGAAAAGAGTTACAGTCAAGATTATTTAATGAACTATTACTTGTATAAATTTTCAAGTTTTTAAATTTAGCAATCTCATCATCTAAAATTCTACTTGTATGGTATGCGTCTGGATGTGAATTTGTATACTTGTTGTGAATCACCACTACCAGTAATAATACTACTATCGATATTATTATCATCATCATTATTTTCACGAATTTCCTTATCTTTATTTTTAGCAAAGTCAAAAGGCTCTCCACTAGTTGGTCTTTTTGATGGATCCACATCCCAACACTTTTCCATCATTTGGCATAATCATCAGACATCTCAGGTAGTATTGGTGGTCGTAAACCTATCATTAAAAAAAATGTGATGTGGTAATGATTGACTGATTAGTAGAAGATATATCGATAATGATAATTTAGATTTTTATAGAAAGTAAAGAGTTAAGCCTAGAATTAGAACAAGGAGCAAAGGAACAATGATAATTTGATTTTTTATATTCATTGCCTTTTTCTTTCTTGATTTTTCAAACATTCATTTGGATAAGTCATTAAAACCGTAACGTAACACGGCCTATTTTTTTATCAAATATTAATATTCGATCTTTTTATCTTGAGAAAAAAAATGAACTCACTATTTTCTAAATTTCGTCAATATTTAACACCAAATTATCACCATCCTTCATCAAAACAAGTTCTCACTTCTTTTTTTTTCAAATTTATTAACAATAATATTAATCATAATATCCATAACTTTAATAATAAGAATAATAAAAGGTTTATTAATACATCAAGAAAGTATGTAAATAGGGAGTTTTTAAAAAGAAAGAGAGAGCAAGCTTCGAGAGTTGGTAACTATTTTGCTATAACACAAAAACGTTCCACGATAGGATTACCACAAACTTCACATAGGGTTATGGAAGCATTGGGTTTACGTAAAATAGGACATACTGTTTATCATTCACAAACACCATATATTGTTGGTATGATTATAAAAGTTAAAGAGTTGTTATCAGTGAGAATGATTGATCGAATACCTTCACTTGAAGAGAGATCTAAACGTGCAGAGAGTGGTTATGTGATTATTAAAAGATATCAAGACACTGATGGATATTAATAATAAGGTAAAATAAAATAAAATTGCAAGTTTTATTTTAACTTTTTTCGAATTATTATCTTTTTTTTTTGCAAAGTAATTAAAAAAATTAAATTTTTCAAATAATAAAATTTAGAATAACTTGGAAGAAATAAATTTGTTTCAAAATTTCAAATTCAAAATTTTCGTATGACTTGAAATACTTCATATTTTTCGATTTCATAGGCTTGTGATGAATTAGTGATTTTTTCAATGTCTGGATAGGTTGATGAATGAAAACTAATTAATAAATTGTTTTTTATATATAAATCAGGCCCACTACCAAATCCAGGCCCTGTTTGACTATTATAAAATATTGCGTTATTTGAATCATGAACCCTTGCAATTATAATATCTTTCTCTTTCATCCTATTACTATCCCCATCACCATCATTATTATTGCTATTATTATAATCATCATTATAGTTCCTACTACCACTACTTTCACTTCTACCACTATTTCTATTATCATCATTTTCAAAAAATGAAAATATAAAACTATCAAATGTTTTTAACTTGTCAAATGGTTTCCAATTAACAGGATTATATCCTCCAATTATTTGATGATCATTATTCAATCTTGTGATTGTTAATGTTGAACCTTTATCATCACATAAACGATGAAATTTCCTAATACTAAAACCGTCTCTAGTTGTACTAAATAACAATTTAAAAGTGAATGGTAAATTCTTGGTGTTGTTATAAAAATATTGATCTTTCTTGTCGATCCAACTTGAAATTATTCTAATATGCTTCAATTTAAGAATTTCTGAATCAAGTTCAAACTTTTTGGAAGGCAGGAACTTAATACTACTATTATTATTGCTATTCATACTACTGTTATTATTACTATTGCTATTATTATTATTGTCATTATTAAATTGCATTGATGCAGGGTCTAATATACAACCCAATATTTCAAAAAATGTTTGTTTGTCAAATAGTCG